CGAAGGAGCGTTAGTATTCTTTAAGTCTCTAAACCTTTTTGAATCTCAAACCAATAGTCCCCTTCATTAAGGTGGGGGTCTATTTATGATTTTGTTTATAGAGGGTTGCTTATCTATAACATTTCATATAACTGCCCATATTAATTTTCTTAATCATATATCAGATTTTTTTTTGTATATTTAAGTATGTTAATGATATCGAAATTGAATAATTTTGGGCTCGTTTGATTTGTCTTGCAAGAAACTCTATTTTTTATAATCTTGTTACATTTGGAAATCATTTCATAGTTTAATTATGTTCCAAAAATTTTAATTATATTTCAAGTATTTCATTGGGACTAATTCGGACTCAGAACAAATCACTCTTGGTGTTGATAAGTTTGTCTCACCAATATGTTCAATGGATGCGTTCATCTCACCAATATGTTTATTTAATGGATTCGTTTGGGACGGCTTTCTTACTGCTTCTTAAAGTCGTTTTTAATATAAAAATTTTAATTTTTATACTTGGAAGCAGCTTTAAGAAGCAGGAAGAAAGCCGTCCCAAACAAAACCTTAATTTGAACCATAATCAATGTTAAAGTCAAAGAAGCTTGGTGGAGCCAACACTACTAGACAAAATTGCAACGAGTGCTTGTTGGGGGCTCGCAAATAAAACAAATGTCACATGTGGAGAATGTGAGGCTTGGTGGAGCCAAGACTACATGACCTAATTGCAAAGAGTACTTGTTGTGTGCTCATAAATAGTAACAATGGCACATGTGGAGAATGCACATTTATTACTATAGCTCAATCTAGACATATCGATGGGACCAACAATATTGTCTAAGGATTAAAAGTTTGTGTGATGGGAGCTTACTAATGGGAACGATGATGAGGTAGAAGAAGTTGATTTTACAACAAGTGCCACTAAGGAAGGCAACGAGGACACCGGTGCCACGTAGGAAGAAGAGAAACCTTGATGTGGATGATATCCTGTGTCACACGCTAAGATCTATATTGAAAGAATTACATATGTATTTCATTTTAACTATTTAACTAGAGCTTACTGATGAACAACGAAAAGAAACACGATTACATTTTTATCTTGTCTAGTGCCTCATATCATAGGGTCCATACCTTTTCCTGGAAATATATAAAACCACCTAATGAGCACATACCAACAACAACTGAAATCAATCCAAGATAAAAGAAAATAATATACTATAAATCATATCAAGAAATATATGAATAAATGTCTATATTGATTATCTGTATCAATTTATTCTTCTATAGTTCATCACATCTCAATCAATTACATCATTAGTCACAATATCAATAACAATCAACATTATTAATGCAGTAACAATATTAGTATCATGATCAATAACATTAAATAGTATTGATGACAGTAAAGATTATTAGTGTTAGTCCTAATATCAATACCGTGTTCATAGCAGTGTTAGTACATGTATTCAAATATTCAATGAGTGTATATTAAATGTATTTTGCTCATAAACTTATGACTCACAATCAGTCGCCACTAATAACTCCTAATCAATGTTCTCTTTATAACTCCACTTAAATCACGTGAATCAATTGTGCCGACTCCTTAACTTCGAATCAATCTTCAGCTCATTATGACTCTCACTCAGTTAATCATAATGACGTCGTAGCGCTCATCAGATCAACACCAAAGGGCTTTACTTCAAAATTTTTAATTTTTTTAAGAAAATATATTTCACATATTTAAGTTATTACAATCTCTTCATCATCATCGATATTTCTATATTAGTCAGAGAGAGGGCATGCTCAAAATACTAAGTTTTTTGTTTTTTTTGGTTCACCTCTCTAGATGATCCATCATAGAATACTTTGTCATCCACATACTTAAAGTATTCACTAACTTCTTATCTATCCATGATCTAATTATATATTCAAAATGCAATATAATATTTCACCCATCACATTGTGTATTTTTTAAATATGAATTATATATAAGTCTTGTTGAGCATACACAACCCAAAAAGATGTGGTGGTTGAAAGAAAAAATAGACACCCACTTACCACCACAAAAGCTCTTCTTATTCAAAAGAATGCTCTAAAAGAATATTGGAGGAAGTTGGCTTAATAGTTGCTCAAATCATAAAGTGGTTAACTACAAGGATCACTAAGGTTCAAGGTTCCTAGACAAGTCATAACTAAATTCTTTCCTCATTTCAACATCTCAAACAACCTTGTTCCCAATAGATTTGAAAGTATTGCTTTGATTCATACACATACTCAAAAAAGAGAATTTTTTGACCAAAGAGAAATTATATGTTTTATTATTAGCTACTCTACCACTCAAAAAGGGCACAAATGCTACCATCACCATTGAAAAAGATGTATTTGTTGAGTGTTGCTTTCAATGAAGAAGATTCCTACTTTGTTACTACTTACCCTAATAAGGAAATATAAATCACTAATGACATCTCAATTGCCCTTTCTTACCACTCATCCAAGCAAACAACTACATTTCAAAACCAGCCACTCTTACACAACCAAAGCTGATACCAAAACCACCTTTTCTTCGGCCATTATAGATTTACTCAAAGAGAAAGGCAACACAATCTACTTTTAGGTCCAATTAACTAAGGCTTCATTTGGAACAACTTTATTAATGTTTCTTAAAGCAGCTTTTTAGTTAAAAAAATATAATATTTGTATTAAAAAGTTATTTTAAGAAGCATTAAGAAAGCCGTCCCAAACAAAGCCTAAATCAATCCCTATTATTGAATTCAGTTAGGAAACCATTAGCCTACAAATATAAATATCAAAACTTTTATTGAACATACAAATTGAAATCCCTCCAAAAGAGCAAAAGAACAAAAATTATACACTACCAAAAGGAGAGAAATTAATAAAATATAGATAGACCAAACTATAAAATACAAATATGATAAATTGCTAGATAATGGTCAAATGATACACTCAAATATAATATTCACTCTGATTGATAAAATGATTATTATTGTTCAAAATTTTTTATCATTAACGATGAATAAAAACTAAATAATAATAATAATTTGAGAGAAAAGGTTCAAAAATAGTTACTTTGACTATGAATAAATACCCAATTGAATCTCAAGGTTTTGCACAATCTCCCATTTAGGCTTGGTTTGGGACGGTTTATTTAATGCTTCTTAAAGCGACTTTTTTGTACAAAATTTTAATTTTTGTACTGAAAAGCTGTTTTAAGAAGCATCAAAAAAGTCGTCCCAAACGAAGCCTTAATCAATCTACAATTGAAAATTGATCTAATTTGAACCAGAAGCTAAAATTGATGGTTAAAGTAAACACCAACATCTCTTAAGTGGGGTATCCAACAGTTGTCACCCCCGATAGGGTGTTTGACGGCATGACTAATCCTCGGCTGACCTAAAAGAGGCACCCGCCCCAGAAATCTTCTGGCCAGGACTTGATTGGACCCCACTTAAGAGACGTTGGTGCTCAAAGGAAATCGAGCACGAATTTGAAAATTCCCAACTGTACTCGTCCACTAACCAAGCTAAGCAACGGTGGGTAACTGCATCTTTTTTAGGAGATAATATAAGTTTAAGACATAAAAAATAAAAGAGAAAATGACTAAAATGACCTCGACTCTCATAAAAGATCAAAATAGTGAACAACTATATTAATAGATCATTTTGATCCCTCAACTCTTTAAAGAGGAACAAAAATAATCCCACCATAAAACTATTTTGATTCTTTTTTAAAAAACAGAAGAACTAAAATAATCCATTAATATAATTGGGGATCACTTTAGTCCGTCATAAAAAAATCAAAGGACCATTTTGACCATTTTCTCAAAAATAAAATATAATGACAAGATCCAATGAAGAAGTAAAATTTAGATCCATAACAAAATTGAAATGAAAAACATCTATTTATCCACTTGAGGGCGAGTGTACAAAATGCCTACTATAGGATTCCACCTCCCACACTCACACCTTGCTGCCTCCTAGCTGTCCACACAACCAGGCTGCAAGCTCTCCTTCATATTCTAGCTCTACCTAAATAAGCTCTTCTACCTTATTCTTATTGTCAACTCATTGATCAATGTTATCATTGATATTACCTCATCAATCCATGAGTTATCTTAATTTATTTTGTCAATTACTAATTTTATATATTCCTATTTAAACCTCCCATATGTTTCTATAAATTCATCACAAAATGCTAGCATGAAAAAAAAAAACAAACTCCCTCCAATTCTCGTGGCTATTGTTGGTGACATTATTAAGTGCGGTCACCGGACGTCGTTCGGAGGCTAATCATGACACGCTATATCACTTTTTAGTTGTGTACCGGTGTTGTGTACCGCTATGTACCGGATGGCATGGTGTATCCTAATTCGTCTCCGGACCGTCTGGTGACTGCATAAAATAATCTCTCCTATTGTTGAAGGACAATTCTTGTGCAGTTGTTCTTATCAATTTATCATAAGGATTAGTTGATATTTGAAGAGCTATTATGTTGAATGTGTCATTGAAATATTTCTTATTTACAAAACTATCACTCATAACATTTAAAATGAACTAATAAATTATGTTTTTACACATGATAAAACTAAACCATTAAAAATACAACAAATTAAAGAGAACAGAAATTAACAAGGTTGTTGTGCCCTTCATAATTTGAGTGATAATACTGTAAATGGAAATCACACATGAAATTGCCCCCCAAAAGAGATTAATATCTCAGCAATAAGTGCACAAATGATTTGGGGATTGTAATGAACTTATAGAATCAATTCCAGCAGTTGAGGATGACAACAAGTATCCATATAGAAAAAAAAGTAGATTTTGGCCAATCAAATAAAACTTTCTCGGCTTACCTTTCCATAAAGTATCTACAGTCTTGAAAGCAGAGAGGTTCGTTTCCCCAAGAAGTCCATTCAGCTACCAGCTCTCTGGCAAAAAGTTCTATGCACCTTGAAGGCTTGGAACCTGGAAGATGATCTACTAGCAATTCTTCCAAAGTTAAGAACAGCAGCTAGAAAGATATCTTTAATGTTATCCTCAATTCAAATATAAGACAAATCAACCAATACCGATGGAAGTTTGGAAAACAAATCAAATTCATCGAAGTTAACTACGTTTGCAAATTGATACTTTTTTTTTTAATGTACTGAAGATAACAAGAAGATCGGCACTAACAATTAGTCTTCGTTTGGGACGACTTTCTTATTGCTTCTTAAAGCAGCTTTTTAGTACAAAAAATTTAATTTTTACGCTAGAAAACTGCTATAAGAAGCAGTAGGAAAGTCGTCCCAAACGAAGCCTTAGTTTATGAATCCCACAATGAAGTTGCTTAGGGATATTGTTAGTAGAGTGACACAGCAATGCCCAAGTTGAAACCAATATATTAGAGATTGGACATCTATCAACTCAAATATATTACAAACTGAAATCTTAATTAACTTTTATGTGGGATTAAGCCTCACTCTCGTGAGCATCCAAAAAGCACTAGCTATAATGAAATGGCAAATGCACTCACTGCATTGGTTTGAAGTTCAGGCAGTCGTAACGGTATGACTATGCAAATGTTTTACTTAAAAAGAAAAACAACATTAAAACAAATTAAATATCTCAGACTGCAAAGGTGGCTACTGTACTGCAAGAAAATGAGAAGTTGATTAATATTGCCAATGATGATATCTGTTTACAACAACAACATCAAGTTTTTGTCCCACTACGTGGGGTCGGCTATATGAATTCTTTTTCGTCATTGTGTCCTGTTAAAAGTCAAATTCTCATTTAAATCTAATAAAGAAAGATTATTTCTAATATTTCCTAACCAAGTCTTTTGAGGTCTACTCTACCTTTTGTAACATAAGTCAAATTTAATATCTCAACTTTCCTAACCGCGTCATCGTAAGGCCTCCGTTTAATGTGACCAAACCATCTAAGGCAACTCTCTCTAATCTTATCTTCGACTAGAGCTACTCTAACCTTTTCACGTATATGCTCATCGGAAGACCTCTGTTTAATGATGATATCTGATTACCTAAAACTAATTTTAATAGTAAAGAAATGCCACAAGAGTCCCCTGCATTCCTGAAGGCACAGGAAGACGCACTAAAAAGCTATGCATATGTTTTGATCTAAAGAAGGCTAGTAATTTTAGCCCTACAGAAACTGAAACGTTTACGCTAGGAATTAGGATACTTCCCAGTGGAGGTTTCCGTGAATAAGCACCAGGGATGCTGATGAAGATTTGGATATCTTGAAAATTTTGGATGAAATGTGGTTCAATTTTCTGCAAAAGCTCACAAGAATATATATATCAGAAAATTAAATGGGTAAAGGAGTATAGGTTCTGAGCTTTGGGATGAAAAACTCAAGAAAATACTGGAACTCTGACCTCTTTATTGACATAGCCAAGAAGAAGGTATTCGTACGGTTTGTGATGAATCAAGTCCAAGTCACTAAGCAGAGAACCATCGGGTTTTATCTATATAATAATAATGAGAGCAAAGAGTGAAATAGCCTAGCAAAATATTAAAAAGCAGAAGCATTGGATTAATTAATACGCATGAAACGAAATGTAACTGCGATTTCTATTGCGCAAAAGATATTTAAATCTCTATTAGTACAAGAATTCTCAAAACCAAGAAGAGAAAAGGAAATTACCTTCAACCAGTAACAAGTTTTGATATCAGTCACTCCCCAAGCTGGAAATAATTCTTGTTCAACAAAAGCACGAAGCTTCCCTCTATTTGTCATCCATAATACAACAAGGGCTCCCTCTGTATGAGCAAGTTGTTTGATAGGGAGGTATAGGAAGTATCGGTTTGGTAATGTCGGGTACCTAAAATGAATTAATATACTGAAATAAATTTTGAGGTATCATTCAGTAAGAAGATTAAATTTACCGATCTGGATCATTTTTTCATCAATTTAGTGGTCCTTTCTGTGGAAGAAATAAAGGATCTTGATTAAACACAAAAGTTGGGAAACTTCAACTCCCTTCAGAGTGAAGAAATGGATAACAGTTTAGGAAACTTTCAGTATATTACTACAGCACCAGCACTTTTTGCAGAAGGGTATTGCCGCATGGCACTGACCATTGATGGGTATTTAAGCTTCTCAGGACAGTACACTAACAGCCTGATAAACTAACACTTATTTCTTGATTTGGAATTTATTTACACATTCTTATGTTTGATTCTTAGCAAGAACTATATTTTTTGGGTAGAGGATTGATGTTTGATCAACAGGAAATGTAAATTTATGTTAAAATTCATGAAATAAATCCTCATTAAACTTTACTAGTACTTGGCATTTTCAAAACAAAAAAAAAGATAAAAAATTGTCATGACCTAACACTAGAGAAATGAAGACTTGGATAAGGTACCATCATAATTGGGGAAAAACTTAACCCTATTTGCCTAACACAAGCAATAGCTGGCTAACACATCAGCTTAAAATAATCATAACAACTAACTTAGGTTGCATTTGGGACGGCTTTCTTATTGCTTCTTAAAACAGCTTTCTAGTATAAAAATTAAAATTTTTGTACTAGGAAGATGCCTTAAGAAGCAGAAAGAAATCCGTCCCGAACGAAGCCTTAATCGTGATGAAAAAAGTTGGTTAACTGGGAATTCATTTGATAATGTTTTCAACTATTTGCTTAAGCTTCCTTGAACTATAAAAATAATTTTAAGGTGTTTTGTTTAAGAGCTATAATAAAAAAAATTAGATATGTAAAAAGGTAGCCTAATGACTTCACAAAAAAACCCATAAAAGAGCTTCATAAATTTTAGCATTTTCATTTGATAAATAATAAATATATTTAATTTTAATTAATTATCTAATAACTAATATTCTTTATCATTATATAATAATATAAAACTTACAAAAATACTTGTTTAATCATACAATCACTTTACCAATATGGCAATAATATTCTACCAAACTGCTACAACTCTTAAAGCACTTTAAATAATAATCTTCCAAAACAGTTATCCACTTTACTCCACAACACCAATTCAAGGCAGCACAGCACAATAATAAGTGAAGCAAAACTTCATGTAGCCTATCTCTGCTTCTTAAATAAAAGCAATTTTAGTGCGTTAGAAAACATAATTGCAAGAAAAGTTTAAATTTAACGCTAGTTTAGAAAGCTTCCTAGAAAAAGGTTTACAGATCATGGAAGAAAATAGAGAGGGAAATCTACCTCCAGCAAGAAACTCAATAAGAGATTGGTTTACAGATCAATGTATTGAATGATTTAGGCTTCGTTTGGGAAAAGCCATCCCAAACGAAGACTTAGTTTTGCTTGTTTAAGTGAATTCAAGTCGGATCATGTCATCCCTTTAAAATGTATGACATGAATAGTATGTGGAGTAATTAAGCTCAACTCATTCATAAACAACACATATTGGCATATAGCATTTTCATGTTATGTGGCATTTGAATTCAACTCTGGCACACCTAAATATCAGTTAGAAGTCTAGATACGTTGAAAATGGTATACTATGTCTGGTCAGAAATATAGCAATGACAAAAGGGCAGGTTGAAGCAATAATTTAATTGTCTACTCGTTTCTATTGTGACTTGAATGTCATTAGCCCATCACAGAAATAGCATTAATATATGAAAATTTTCACAGCTTTTGGCAGAAGTTCTACCATTGGTTGCCGATTCAACAACAATTATTAATCTTCTTCATCTAGGATTTTCATCTGAGCTTGAAGTCAAAAATCTAAGATGACGAGAAAAAAAAAAAGTTATAAAAAAATTGCCAAGGAGAAGATGTGACCACATACACTGCTTTTTGATAAGCACTTCCATTTTCCCATGGTGGGTCAATAACAATTAGATTAAAGCCTTGATCAGAAGAACCTGTAGAAACGATTTGGCAACAATGGCATCAAAAAAGGAAACTATATCCATCGTGCAAAACGTTTGAAGACATAACATAAGTCATCGGGAAATTAAATTGATCAAAACTTGGAAATCAATGCATAGGAGAGATTAATGAATATTACCAGGAATGAGATCATGGATTTGTCTCAAATCAGACTTCCAGGCGAACATTAAATTAGAAGTAATAGATAGAAGAAAAAGGGAAAATAAGTAAGATATTTTAAGACAAGATAAGACAACTGTATATTCATGATGCATGGAAGTATGTCTGCATATATTTTTGCATGAATAGGTTCATGCATCATAGATTGATATGTTTCTATATATATATATATATAATAATAATAATAAAGACAAATAAAGAATCCATGGCACATGCCTAGCAGCACCTAAAGCTATCAAGCAATCATAGAAAAATCAAGAACAGCATATGCTGAAAAGCTTCATCTTAAAAAATCAAGGAACTAGAAGAACAAAATGAGAAAGATTTCAAAAGAAGTTAATTTGATCAACCAGAAATGCTTCCTTTGTAGTAACATACCGTATGAAAACAGCTTTTTCTTGGTAGTATATATATCCGATTAAGAAATTCAGCATCCATATCAATAGATGCTTTATTACTAATCAAGTTATTAAAAAGAGGAGCAACTGTCCTTCCACTAGAATCCACATTTGGCAAACCTGATAAAAAAAAGATAGCCAAATTGTTAGATAATTTATGGATTTATGAAAAGAATGAGAAGAAATTGATGTTTGAACAAATCAAAAGTAATGTTCAAAATTCTTGCATGGAACCATCAAGCTGCGGGCTAAGAACCACTTTCTAGTCATGTTTTTTGCATATAAGGCTTCAAAATCTTTTTTCCACATTACACTTCATAGGACAAGAAACTGCAGTGCCAGATTTGGCATTGAAGTAGCTTACAAGGCCAGCTAACGTGCAGAGGCTTCAATGGTTTTGCTATGGGTTTCATGTGGAAGATATCTTCTGAAAATTAGAGGTTTAAGAAGAGAGAATAAAACAAAACCAATCTTGTAGCAAAATCTGATGCTCATCTAGAGTAAATACAAACTCCCAAAAAAAAAAACTAGAGTAAATGCAAATGGTCAGTTTGTTTCACTGCAAGTGTTTCAAGTTCAAGAATTGAGTCGCATTGAAGTGGATTGTAAATGACATTTATTTGTTTAGCATTAACTCTCTTCGAATGAACTTAGTTTTTGTGTTTATTTGGACTAAAATGGGTGACATTTTTCTCCACCATCATGTTAATTTTATGCTACTTCTTACCATTTTAAATAGAAGTGATATTCCAGCCCATCAACCCATTAGCAATAATAATAACCAATCCCTCAAAGTTGAAACTTCTCACCTTTTTGAAGGTGTGTTTCAAGAAGAGTAATTTAGTTTCATTCAATTCAACCAAAACAAACACTTGAACCCAAGGTTCAGAAAAATCAAACCGGATATGAAACAAAAAGAAGCATAGGCTCACAGTTCAATGGTTAAATCTAGGTTGAGCTGAGTTAAATCGAATGATATAATAAAACCTATAATCAAATCGAATGATATAATAAAACCTAAAATAAAAATCAAACCGGATATGAAACAAAAAGAAGCATAGGCTCACAGTTCAATGGTTAAATCTAGGTCGAGCTGAGTTAAATCGAATGATATAATAAAACCTATAATCAACTCGAATGATATAATAAAACCTAAAATAATTATAATATAATATAAATTATATAATAATTAAAAATTTTAAAGTGAATACATAACTACCTCGATTAAGCCTCAACATAAAGTTCCTCAATAAGTCGAATGTGAATATAAGTGTGTGTGTGTATATATATATGTAATAAGAATAATATTTAATGTAAAATATAAAGTTTATAATATAAAATAAATTTGTGTTCTTAACTTTATAAAACCATGTGCAACCTAACTCCCCATCTAATATTCACACAGTCTCACATAATAGGAAAACTTTAAGTAGTCGTCTTATTATAGTACAAAGAACAAGCCATTAGCAACAAGCGAAAATTGCCTGAGATGGCATCCATCTAATCTTGTTGAATCTATATGCATATGATTTTAAATGAATATTAAAAATTTTAAAAAGATTTAATAAAACTAAAACATGCTATTTCAAACTTTATTAAAATAAAATTTAACATTTTAAGCTCAATAAGTTTGGCTCAAGCTTAAACAAGCTTTAAATCAATGGTGTATAAAAATCTATAGTTTGAACCGAACAATTTTACAAAATCGAGACATTACAAGTAAATTGACCAGTTCACATTCGAAGGGTCAAGCCCTTTTTTTTTTCAAAATGCTGCTTGAACTCACTTTGAAGTGA